GTGTGTGTGTGTGTGTGTTTCGAGAGGAAGGGGGAGGGAAGCCTGTCAGAAAGGGAGAGGTCGCAGGAGAGAGGGAGCGGCGACAAGAAGGCATGACGCACTTGAGGATGCGCACGACCTGGTAGAGGCCGGTGAACCCGACGAACAGGTTGACCACCATCAACGAGTAGTTGATCGGGGTGATCTGGGTCGAATAGCGGGCCCACGACGCTCTTCCGATCTGAAGGGGGAGGGAAGCCTGTCAGAAAGGGAGAGGTCGCAGGAGAGAGGGAGCGGCGACAAGAAGGCATGACGCACTTGAGGATGCGCACGACCTGGTAGAGGCCGGTGAACCCGACGAACAGGTTGACCACCATCAACGAGTAGTTGATCGGGGTGATCTGGGTCGAATAGCGGGCCCAAATGAAACCGGTAGAGGCCAGGCCTGTGGCATCGGTCGCCAGGGGAGGCCGAAGGGAGGGAGCGTCGTGAGAAGGAGCAAGGGCGGAGAGGCATGCACATGTGTGGGCGCAGGGGCGGGCAGGATCCTGGGCCGGGTGTTGGGCGGTGGGGGAGGGTCGGTCATGGAAGCAAGTGGGGGAGGGCGTCAAACGCACAGATCGGAAGAGCGTCGTGCAGGGGAGGCCGAAGGGAGGGAGCGTCGTGAGAAGGAGCAAGGGCGGAGAGGCATGCACATGTGTGGGCGCAGGGGCGGGCAGGATCCTGGGCCGGGTGTTGGGCGGTGGGGGAGGGTCGGTCATGGAAGCAAGTGGGGGAGGGCGTCAAACGCACCGGCGGACTGGAGCATGGAAAGGTTCTCGGCCGGGCGATTGATGTCACGGATACCGGCAAGGACGAGCACCCACTTGGCGGCGGGGGCCCAGAAGTGGATGGTCAGGGGCCCTGCATGGGGGGAGGGGGGGGGAGGGGGGAAGCGGGCCGGTGTGAGAGGGGATCACCACGCGACAAGGTCAAGGAGCAGCTGCGCACGCACCGGCAGGGTGGTTGATGAACGCGCGGGCGCGGTTGGCGAAGGAGGCGTTGGCGGCGGGGGCGGAGGACATCTGAGATGGGGGAGGTTCCGAGTGGGGGAGGGCGTGCGCGTGCGCGCGTGTCAGAGAGCGCCGGTGCATGGGGCCGGGTAGCGGGGCAGGGGAGACGGCAAATGCGGGGAATACCTTGGCGAGTTGGAAGAAAAAGGCAAGCAAGTGTGCAAGGAGCGAGGAGGGAGGGGCGGGGGGGGGGGGGGCCAGGCGCGTGTGTGCGGAGAGGGGCGGGAGGGGGGGCGGAGGGGACAACGAGGTGGGGCTGCCCACCATTTGGCCAAGTGTCCCCGGACAGGGGGCCCTTCATCCTGGGCTCTGGCACACCTACCCATCCGGCCGCCGGCTGCCGCCCCCCTTCTCCTGGGGGGGGGGGACATCAGGCGATGGGTCCGGCATACCGCCGGCCGAGTTCCGGCAATCGTGGTTGCGCCCTTGCGCGCCCGCGAGGGGAAGAATTCAGATGGTCTCGCGGGCCGGGGCCCCTTTGCCACGGCAATCGAGCGGCAGGTGCCCCTCCTTGCCCTCGACGAGGCCCCCGCCGGAGTGTGACCCCCCGTGCGAACGAGGCCGTTGGCTCCTGCCCACCGACTGGGCCAAGTCCCAGCCGAGTCGCGACCCAGCCTCCACACTGGGACTCTGCGTCGGCACCAGGAGCGGGCGTTCTGCCAGGAACGCCATTCTCCGGCCCCTCCGGTGGACCCACCTGGAGCAGAGGCACGCGTCCGCCCCGGCAGTGCGTTCGCCCCCTCCCGCTCGGCCGGCCAGCCTCTGCCGCCTTGACCCCCCCCCCCCCCCCCGCCCCCTTGCTGTCCCTTGGGTGGGGCGACACACAACGGGCGCAAGAACGACAGGCATCTGCGGAGGCTTGCGCGGCGTGCCCCACGCAGTGGGCGCTATTGGCGATCTGCCAGGCCGGACTCCACCCGCAGAAAGGGCCCTGCCGGGCCACAGGCCGGGGATCCTGCGGTCGGCAAGGCGCGTGTGCGTTCCAGATCTCACTGCCTTGCATATCGACTTGCCCGAGTGCGCCGGGGACGATCGCCGGCCGCCGAAAAGGACCGCCCTGTCGTTGCACCGGGAGAAAAGGCATCCCCCTCCCCTCTCTCCTCTCGCTCTCCCCCCCCCCCTCCCCTGTCCCTTTTCCTGTCCCCCTCCCCCCTCCTCGCCCCCCTCCCCCCTCCCCCGCTCGAGTGGACAGGAAGGCGCAATGGTCCGCCCGACGAAGCGCAAGATCCGGAAGGCCAGCGGCAAGGCCAAGACCCAGGCCCCGCAGAATGCCGCCCATGCCGATATCCGGAAAAAGATCCACAGCCGGCAGGCGGCCACGGCGCAGGAGCGTCGCTTGGTGGCGCTGGCCATGTCTGTCTCGAGTTCGGCCGGCGTGGACCTGTCTGCTGTGCAGCTGGACCCCATGCTCTCGCCTCTGCCTTTTCTCCGAAAGGTGCGCCGGCCCCCTCCCCCCCCCCCTCTCCCCCCTGCTCGCCCTCCCCCCTTTTGGGCCGGGCCACACCGACGGACCGGGCTTTTTTTCTTCCTCCTCCACACAGCTGACCATTCTTCGTGGTGCCTCGCCTTGCCTCTTCTCCCGGCTGCGGCAGCTTTCCTCGACCAACCCGATCGAGCGCGAGTGGTCCTGTATCTGCATCGCTCGTTTCATCTCGGACGCCGAGAAGCGTGATGTGCGCGCAGCATGACCCCCCTTTGTGATCCATTTCCCGTCCCCCTGCTGCCTCTCTGCTCGGCTAACCGGAAGCACGCACGCATGCCCCCTCGCGCTCATACGCCCACAGCTCCTGCTGAGCAACAATGTCGTCGGCCTGGTTCTGGATCGCCTGTCTGACAAGGCCTTCCGTGTCCAGGCAGCTGCCACCGGCGCCCTTCGGTACATCCAACCTCCCCCCCCCCCCCCCCCCCATGCTTTGTGCATCCCCCCTCCCCCGCTGATCGTTGCTGACCTGCTGGCTGGGGATTCAAGGAACATCCTCCTCGAGGACGACCCGCGCATTGTGGCGGCCCTGTCGCGCCTGGACGTGGTCCGCAACTCGCTGATCCCCTGCCTGCTGACGGCGGTGGAGAACATCGCCAATCAGCAGAGCCGCATGTCGGAGTCCGCCCCGGCTGACACCCCGGTGGCTGACACCCCGACCGAGGCCGCGGCCATGGGCGCCGAGGCCGCCGCCGCTGCGGTCCTGGCCGCCGATGAGGCGGACCTCCCCTCTACCAAGGCCGCCGACTCGCGCAATGCCGTCTCCGAGGCTCTGGCTTTCCTGCACAGCACCATGGAGAATGCTCTCTGTATTTTCTGGTCCCTCTGGTGCGCACTCCTCCCTTCTCTCTTTTTCTCTCTCTCTCTCTCTCTCTGTGTGT